TACAGTCAAATCCAAAACTCATCGAGGGGGCAATGTAATGGTCTTTTCAAAATCGACTTTGGCTTAGAAAAATATTTGATAAGACTCTCAATTGCAGATCGTAAAAATATTACTAAACTGCGATGCTGCAACCTTAAAATCCCATTAGAAAAGGGAAGATGGAATGGAATTCCTAGAGATGAAAGACAGTGTCATCTCTGCTCCTTGTCAATTGGGAATGAATTTCACTATCTATTTGAGTGCCAGTCTGTTATTGTTAAAAATATAAAAAATAAGCATATTTCAGAATATTACCACATGTATCCATGTGTCGAGAAATAGCAATATTAAAGTTATGAAGAACTTATCACTTGTCATTAACAAATTAGTTAAACTATTGTAATTACACTCAAGTCTCATTTATATAATTATGTTAACATTGTTCTGTAGCAACCTTGAATATGATTATGTACTTGGCCTCTTGTTACACATGTCTGAGTGTTTCAAAATAAAGTGTTGTTGTAGTTGATATATAATCCACAGCCATACGGTTCGTAAAGGTCAAACAATTGTCTAGAAAAATGACCTGTTATAGCTTCTGAAGGCCACAAAGTTCCGGATCAATCTTTGTACAGATGTTTTTAATGTGTCAAACTATTTTCTTAAACACTTCACGTATTATGCATGCACGTTCGGAAACTATTTGAGAAAAAAAATGTTTAGAATATCAATGCTTAAATTTTCACAAGTCATCAATTTTGTCTCAATTGAAAACAAATTTTTCATATTTTTTTTCAATTCAATGTGTTTAAACTTAGACATAGGACAGTCAGTGACAAGCACTGCCACCTATGTCTACTCAAAATTACTAACAGAGTGTAAATCTAAAGTAGAACTTGCTGTTTTAGGGGTTTCTGTCAAAATATATTTTTACTTCTTGTCAATTGAATTTCTGTGAGGTTGAAATGATCTTGTTTAAATTTCGAAAGGATGGAGAAAGCAGAAAAGAACAATAGAAAAATAAACAGACGTGGCGTGATAACTAATAAACCAACAATATATACGTATATACATAAGACAAAAAGAGAATAGAATGAATATCTAAATATCTAAAAATGGATTTCTCTCAATAAATGACAATAAATAAGAAGAAACAGATGATCTAATAAATATTATGTAATTTGTAAATATCTTGTCTACCTTCCTTTATTCAAATCAAATTTCATTTTGTAGCTGAAATTAAAAGGCGGGATTGTTAAGTTCAAAAGTTCATTTCTATGACAGAAGGCTTGGTAGCAAGAGCTTTATTAACAATTTAAATAATTTGCATTAAATCTTTTTGTAAGCTTCCCACATATTGCTTCAAGAAATTTGTGGTTTTCAAGGTGCAGTAAAATTCTTATTATAAACATGTTGCTGAATGTTTTGTACTAATTGTGACATACCCCCGTCTTGAAAGGTTCCCTAGGGTATAGGTTCTGACTTAAGGTAATCACACGTATGCATACATGTAATAGACTTGTTTTCATGCTTGTAATTTCACCTTGAAGCTCTTTCGAATCCATTCAATTAATTTTTAAAGCTATATGCTTATTTTTTAAACTCCTGCCATGAAAAATTCAGCCCTTTTTATTCCTATTTATTAGTTAAATTAGTTTGATCGAGGTAAGTGCGATGTCTTAAAGTTCGGATTTCTTACATAAATCACAAATACTCAATTAGTGGATATATGTATTTTTTAATCATTGTTATTTTATTTGGGCTTTTTTTTTCCGTATTTTCTGTTTAAACTACGACGGATAGATGGGTAGTGGTTCAAAGAGAGATTCTCAAATCACAAAGGTTCTTGTTCGCCAATTTCTCAAAGACACATTAGGATTGGATGAAGACACATCTGTCCATCGCTAACCGGCGTCTGGAGAACCTGGCAAAAGAAACGTCATGTTCAGATTGTCGAGCTTTACTGATCGAGATGACCTTCTAGGTACTGCAACAAAGCTTGAACCAGGATCCGGATCCGGGTTCGGCAGTGTGGAACCAGACCTACCACCGCAACTCGAAATACTACGTGGAAACTTACTAAACCTTTCGTTATTCTGGTGGTGTCTTTCCTAGTCGACCAAAGGCATGTACATAGGAAATTACCTAAAACATTAGTTTACATCCTTGTACTGGGGTCTCTGGTGGATAGTTGTTTCTTTGGTTACCATACTTCCCACAGTCTCCTTTATATTGTGGCTGAATTGCTTGCAAAAAAGGCCGCTTATAGTATGGAGATGTCTGGCGGAAAAAATAGGTGTAATCTACAGTTTTCAATCCATATCCTTGCTACTTCACAGAAAGATTGTACATATATTGAAGTTGTACACCTGCTATAATACATATAGAACTATTTGAGAGATGACCTTTTGATATTTAAAAAAAATAAAATTGGGGGAAAAAGGGGGTTGGGGGTCGGGGTTTAGAAGAGGAATATTTTTTTATTGACTATTCATTTTCGTTTTGTGCTACAGATGCTTATTTTTTCCGCCGCTTTTGTCACGCGAAAAGTTATTTGCACTTTTTGCACGCGATTGATTTCACCATTTTGTGTTGCAGAATATTTATAATTTCAGCTCTTTTAAAAAGATGTACTCAAGTCAGGTTTATGATTTTTTGTCAGATGTTCGGACTTCTTGGGTTATTCCTACGATACAGGGTAAAATATTTTGCCCCATATCAACCACTTTTCTTTTCATAGAAGACTTCAATAGCTCATGAAAAGGTCATTACCAAAATTTAAGCAGATTCTAGATTTGTTTTCTTACGATTTGAGACCAAAATAATGTCAATGATAAAATATAAGGTAAAAGTCCGAGTCGGCCTTTTCTCGCCATTTTAAAAAAATCAAATATCGCAAAATGGAGTTCCATAACCTATCAATATTTTTAGCTTATCTTTTTCCTTTACTTATGTTCTTCTGACTTATAGAATCAATTTTAAATTCTAGATTTGTTTAATTTCACCTAACTTCATCATTACAAGGCCAGGATATTCATTTTCAAAATCCTCCCGCCTCCCCCAGAAAATCAATTGGTCGTCCCCATACCATGTGTGTCCTCAATCAACAAAAATTTGGTTCCCACGAAACTTTGCCCAAGACAGGATAAAAATGAAATATTAGTCCCCCTCCATTTTCTCAGGCTTGGAAGCTAGTAATGATACAGCAAATTTTCATAAATTTTTTTTTTATGTTATCATGCTAGAATGAATTGTAATTCGAGTTATTCGTTATGTTCAAATTCACCGGCAAGAGACTACCTATTAGCAGTCTCAGAATTTCAAAATCTCACCTCATTATAAATGGAATTTAGTATTTTATCATTTTATCATGTTCCAAATCCGTTTTTAATTGTTTTGGGTAATTTTCTTGTGTCATTTAGAAAAATAAATGTCTTCAATAATTATCCAGATTTTGTTGTGAAATAAAGCAGGATCAAATATTTTTATAAAATAGATTTGTGTCAAATCTTTTTATCCATGTTTTATTTTTAACTTTAGTCTTGGACTCTTTCCAGATAAAATACACTTAGGCAAGAGACATATGATACAAAAATCACTTTTTCCTACAAGATTTATCGCTTTCTTTTTTATTTTTTTTTTCTTAGTAGAAAATTAGTCCATCTTCTGGAGTACCAAAGATATAACTGTGATACAATAAGCAAAGGAATTGAAAATAGATTTTCAGTTAACGAACTTCTTATGCATGTGCGGGACAATTTTAATACTTCACACTAAACCGTAGATTTATGGTCAATAAAAGCAAGCAGTATGTCCATACAAAAACCCAACACCAAACACACGGAATGTACAGTTTCCTACAAGTAAAAAGTTTACATTTGTGTAAAAGTCGAAAAATGATTATCATTTGTAACTTTCTTTTGAGGTAGAGATTTACCGAAATGTTTGGTTATGTGTTCTAGTATCTGTGGGAATAAGGATTAGCGACGGAATTTCAATGAGTTCATGGATGGCTTTATAGAACATAATCAGTCTGGCTCTGGGGCGGCGCTATGCAAGTGAGGGTCATTTAAGACTGTTTATCGTGGTTGTAACACTACTCAGTATAGTGGTATGGTAGTTGTTAATACATAACGGAAAGCACGTCTCTATACCATTTTTATATAAAAATAAGGAGATGTGTTATGATTGCTAATGAGACAACTATCCACCACAGTTCAAATGAAGTGAATGTAAGCCATTATAGGCAACCGTACGGCCTTCAACAATAAGAAAAACCCATACCGTATAATCGGCTATAAAAGGCGACATGAAAAATATGAAACAATTGAATTTAGAAAACTAGCTCTAGTTTGTTTGTGGATTCGGTAAGCTACAGCTGCTGTACTGAAATTGTGGTCTCAATATGGATTGATATGCACTTGATTTGATGTTGGCGATTGATATTGTTAGGTTTTCCTGCATGACTTTAATATATTACTAGTATATTCTTGATATGAAATTGTCGTGTAGGGTTAACTTACATCAGGATATTTTGTGTGATTAATATGTTCTAAAATATGTTAATATAGGATGTAATTGTGCTTAAATGGCTTTTCCCGTATGTGTTGGTGAGACGAGCCAATCACACGGCCACCCATTTAGTAGCCGCATCAAGATCTGCTTGTAGTTCTTTTCTATCTTGTTGGCATGTCATGGCCATTTGCCATGGTACTTCAGAAAGTTCACAAGCAAAAACAAAAACAAAAACACGCGCACACATCTTTAGTTTAAGCGTCTCAGTATCAAGGAATTCAGTGTCCTCTATCATTTTTTTTTTGCACTTTGAGTCTGTTTGTTTCTAGAAAGTAACCTGTACTGTACAAAAAATATTTCGCAGAAAATCTATCGTAACGCCATTGGTTTTTATTTACTGATCTATACGTTGAATTATTGAATATGAAATTTTTAAGGAAATGTATCACATTTTTATTTATAAAATATCTATCATAGAACAAATTTTACAACATTTTTTATTACAGATCGGTCCAAAAGTAGGGAAAAGGAATGTCACTCTCCAGTACCGGAAGGTAAGAAAGGCACTTTCATGTTTTGAAAATGGAGAATGTGTGATCGACCGGCTTCGTCAAGGTTAGGTAATACCCGAATATTGAACAAAGTATTTAAAGTTTGATGACAAAAATAAACTATTATACGTATGATATCTAAATTTTCAACTGTTCAACAAAGAGTATGACTGACATGTCCTAATATTGTGTATGGATCGAGTTTTAGGCCTAGCCACGATGACCTATTTTTTTCGAATAACATGTCTGGGTGTCTGTATTTCTATAAATGGAAAATGTCACAACACTAATTCAGTATATATTCTATAATTAATGTAAATCGTAATAGAATTCCTTTGTTGTCTATCCCCCAATCTACCGATCGTATTAAATACCGCGAAATTATGAACCAGATACAATTTGTACTCAGCCACCCACGTGATAAGTAACCTATATATCTGTAATCAGCTGATGTCGGAATGTCATTTATTTACTGCACATGCCCAGTAACAATTATTTTGCCCCACATTTGTATTTGTAAACAAATGTTTATATATTTGAACACTTCATCAGTGTATGCTGTGGAGAAATAAAGTTTTCTTTGAGGTTAGTGAAGTTTATTTACAAGTATTAAATCATACATTGATAGGGTGGACATCAAAATTAGTGTTACAGTAATTTTGTTAAAATTAAAACATCTAACTCACAAATTGTATCATGTTGTACAGGAGATGGGATAACCTTTCTATAGAAAAAAAACATAATACCAGGAATGACTTGATTATTTTCCACAAATTTCTAAAATTTATTTGTTGTAAAAGTAATTACAAATGTATAAATATTTTATTTAGTTTAGAGAGTTTAGAGAGTTTAAAATTGATATCCAAATGAAATAAACTGCATGTTAACAAACCACAATTATATATGAGGTCAGTTGACCACAACCTACTTGGCACTGTGACAAGTGACCGACATTTTACCTTGCCATCATGGGTTGAACATGTGTACCTAAGACTAACATGACTAAGTTGATTGCATACATTGGTAGTAATTGATTTTTTGCGGACAGATTACATGTAATGTTCATGTGTTAACCAATACAAAATATATCTAAAAGAGTGCATCAGACTGAATGCACAAATAAATCAATTTGTCAGGAATATGTGATCTTGAAAAGAACTTTAAGAATAAAAACTTTCTGAGATGAGGCAGTTTCAAATGATGTATAAGTCATTTATCAGTAATTTATTTCAACCTAACAAATGGTAAGCCCTCAGATTCAATGATGTGATCCCATTATTCAGACTCAATGATGCGATCCCATTACTTAGACTATGCTTATTTGTTCAGATCCAGACAAAATGTTATGACTTGTAACCATGGTAACTCCAGATGCCTTTTGTTTTATTTTATTGTGTTCACTGTTGCTGTCTCATTTACTCCTTTACATTTTATATTGCATGGCGTATAATAAGATCCAAAAAGAAATCAAATAGCTTAAATCTGACATCAGTCAATTCTCTATAGGAGTTATTGCCCTTCAATGATGATTTTACCCATTTTGAGGCTTTCGGCTATATCATCTTGGAATTCCAGATACTATAATAGATAAAGAGAAGCAACCTAAAAAGGCAAAAAGATCAGCTACACAAGATCTTGTATGAAGTCACCATAATTAAAATCATCAGTATATCCCTTTTAGGTGTCATTGCCCTTCAATGGTGATTTTACTTATTTTTATACGACCGCAAAAAAATTTTTGTGGTCGTATATTGGTATGACGTTGGCGTCGTCGTCGACGTCCGAAGACACATTGGTTTTCGCACTCTAACTTTAGTTTAAGTGAATGGATCTCTATGAAATTTTACCACAAGGTTTAATACCACAAAAGGAAGGTTGGGATTGATTTTGGGGGTTATGGTACCAACAGTAAAGGAATTAGGGGCCAAAAAGGGGCCAAAAATAAGCATTTTTGTAACTTCCAGACATAACTTGTGTGTTAGTGTATGGATCTCTCTGACATTGTACCACAAGGTTCCATATCACAAAAGGAATGCTGGGATTGATTTTGGGGGTAATTGCCTCAAAATTTTAGGAATTAGGGGCCAAAAAAGGGGCAAAAATCAAGCATTTTTCTAGTTTCATGACAATAACTTGTGTGTCAGTGTATGGATCTTTCTGAAATTGTACTACAAGGTTCCATATTACAAAGGGAAAGCTGGAATTGAGTTGGGGGGTAATTGCCGAAACGTTTAGGAATTGAGGGGCCAAAAAGGGGCCAAAAATAAGCATTTTTCTAGTTTCCAGACAATAACTTGTGTTCAAGTGTATGGATCTCTCTTAAATTGTACTGTAAGGTACCATACCACAAAGGGAAGGCTGGGATTGATGATGGGGGTAATTGCCTCAATATTTTAGGAATTAGGGGCCAAAAAGGGGCAAAAAACAAGCATTTTTCTAGTTTCAGGACAATAACTTGTGTGTAAGTGTATGGATCTTTCTGAAATTGTACTACAAGGTTCCATATCACAAAAGAAAATTTGGGTTTGAATTTGGGGGTAATTGCCCTAAACGTTTAGGAATTTGGGGCCAAAAAGGGGCCAAAAAACACATTTTTCTAGTTTTCAGACAATAACTTGTGTTCAAGTGTATGGATCTCTCTGAAATTGTACTGCAAGGTACCATACCACAAAGGGAAGGGTGGGATTGAGTTTGGGGGTGATGAATCATAAGGGGGTTCAAAAAATTTGGGGGGGGGGATATTTTTTTTTTCCTTTATTTTCTTTTTTTCATTTTTTTTTTCTTTTAAAATTTTCCATTTTAAGTTGGTTATTTCTGATTTATATTTAAAAGCAAATAATAATGATATGGTAGGAGATACACACCAAAGAGGATGTGTAAATTATTATATAATAAGTATTGTGCAATAGCAAGAAATTTTCAATTGTACAGTATTGCACAATAGCAAGAAATCTTCAATTGCACAGTATTGCGCAATAGCAAGAAATCTTTAATTGCACAGTATTGCGCAATAGCAAGAAATATCCAATAGCACAATATTGCGCAATAGCAAGAAATTGTCAATTGTACAATATTGCGCAATAGCAAGAAATATTTAATTGCACAGTATTGTGCAAAAGAAGATACTTTGTATAAATTGCTTATTTCTTGACCAATTTCAATGGGGTTTTATTCTTGGAATTCTTGGGGTTCTTTAATATGCTGAATCTAACTGTGTATTTAGTTTTTGGATTTTGGGCCCCGATTTTAAATTGGTCCACATTGAGGTCCAAAGGGTCCAAAATTAAACTTTGTTTGATTTCATCAAAAATTGAATTGTTGGGGTTCTTTGATATGCCGAATCTAACCGTGTATTTAGATTCTTAATTTTTGGTTTCGTTTTCAAATTGGTCTACATTAAGGTCCAAAGGGTCCAAAATTAAACTTAGTTTGATTTTAACAAAAATTGAATTCTTAGGGTTCTTTGATATGCTGAATCTAAATATGTGTTTAGATTTTTGATTATGGGCCCAGTTTTCAAGTTGGTCCAAATCGGGGTCCAAAATTAAACTTTGTTTATTTCAACAAAAATTGAATATATGGGGTTCTTTGATATGCTGAATCTAACCATGTATTTAGATTTTTGATTTTTGGGCCCCGTTATCAACTTTGTCCACATTGAGGTCAAAAGGGTCCAAAATTAAACTTTGTTTGATTTCATCAAAAATTGAATTCTTGGGGTTCTTTGATATGCTGAATCTAACCATGTATTTAGATTTTGGATATTGGACCATAATAGGTGAATGTCCAATTTAAAATTTTTAAGTTCTTAGACCACATTCATTCTGTGTCAGAAACCTATGCTGTGTCAAATATTTAATCACAATCCAAATGCAAAGCTGTATCAAGCTTGAATGTTGTGTCCATACTTGCCCCAACTGTTCAAGGTTCGACCTCTGCGGTCGTATCAAGCTGCGCCCTGTGGAGCATTTTATTTGTGTTTTTGTGTGTATTAAAACTGCAGGAGATGAAGAGAAACTTTAAACAGCAAACGAGTTAGCAAGACAAGATCTACTAATAAGTCAAATGGCTTAACCTTCAGTTGACTTCTTCCAGGAGTAAAGTCAGTAAATGATGATTTTTGGCCAAATTTAGTGTTTTTATGTAATATCTTGAAAACAATGATATATGTTCTGAAATTGTAAAAAGAAAAAAAAAAGTTCTGCCCACAGCTTCCATTCAACAGAGATATTTTTGTTGAATGGTATTTGATTAATGCAAAAATATAAGGTGAGCGATACACCTGTGATACGTGCTCCTATTTTTATTATGCCCCACTGTAGCGGAGGGGGCATTAAGTGTTCCCTTTTCCCTCCGTCCCGTCCTTCTGTCACCTACGTCCCCAAAATTGGTTTCCGTTCTCTAATTTTAGTTTGCCTTAACCAAATGTTATAAAACTTATACACAATGCTCATTACCACAAAATACAGATCAGGTTCGAAATTGGATGGATTCACTTTTACCGTTCATGAGTTATGCCCCTTTATAAACATAAAAATTGCTGAATTTTTTTGTTTCCTTTCTCTAACTTTAGTTTGCCTCAACCAAATGTTATGAAACTTATACACAATGCTCATTACCACAAAACACAGATCAAGTTTGAAATATGGTGGCGTCACTTTAACCATTCATAAGTTGTGCCCCTTTATAAATGGAAACATTGCTAAATCTGTCGTTTCTGTTCTCTAACTTCAGTTTGCCTCAAATGTTATGAAACTTATACACTATGGTCTTAACTGCTTGAATCCTGCATCTGTATGTGGAACAATGTGGAAGTTGACTCATGCATATTTACAAGCGGGGGCATCTGTGGCCCAAAGACACGTTCTCCATTTATTTTTTATACGACCGCAAAAAAATTTTGAGGTCGTATATTGGTATGACGTTGGCGTCGTCGTCGTCGTCGTCCGGCGTCGTCGTCCGAATACACAATGGTTTTCGCACTCTAACTTTAGTTTAAGTGAATGGATCTCTATGAAATTTTACCATAAGGTTCAATACCACAATAGGAAGGTGGGGATTGATTTTAGGGGTTATGGTACCAACAGTTAAGGAATTAGGGGCCAAAAAGGGGCCGAAAATAAGCATTTTTGTAACTTCCAGACATAACTTGTATGTTAGCATATGGATCTCTTTGACATTGTACCACAAGATTCCATATCACAAAGGGTCAATGCTGGGATTGATTTTGGGGTTAATTGCCTCAAAATTTTAGGAATAAGGGGCCAAAAGGGGGCAAAAAACAAGCATTTTTCTAGTTTCATGACAATAACTTGTGTGTAAGTGTATGGATCTTTCTGAAATTTTACTACAAGGTTCCATTTCACAAAGGGAAAGCTGGAATTGAGTGTTGTGGTAATTGCCCAAAACGTTTAGTAATAAGGGGCCTAAAAAGGGGTTTAAAATAAGCATTTTTTAGTTTCTAGACAATAACTTGTGTTCAAGTGTATGGATCTCTCTAAAATTGTATTACAAGGTACCATACCACAAAGGCAAGGCTGTTATTGAGCTTGGTTTGGGGGGAAAGGGGGTGGGGGTGATGAATCATTAGGGGGGCGGGGGTCAAAAAAGGGGTAATTTTTTTTTTTCCTTTTTTTTTTGTTTAAAATTTACATTTTAAGTTAGTTATTATTTATCACGAAGAGAAAGTAGGAATTGAGTTTTGGGGTTAATTGCTCAAACATTTATGAATAAGGGGCCAAATATTGGTCGAAAATAAGGATTTTTTTAGTTTGCAACAAAAACTTGTGTTCAAGTGTATGGATCTCTGTGAAAATGTATTGCAATGTACCATACCACAAATTGAAGGTTGTGATTGAGGTGGGAGATGATGAATCAAAAGGGGGTTGAAAAAATGTGTGGGGGGTAGGATTTTTTTTTTCCTTTTTTTTTCTTTAAAATTTTCCATTTAAAGATGGCTGTTTCAGATTTATATATGAAAGAAAATAATAATGATACGGTTATATATCATGTGGAACTGAAATTTAAAATTATGTATATTGGAAATTTAGGTTACATTGGAAAGTAATAATTGGCTTTGGGGTGGTGGTGGTTATGGCTCTAATGTTTAAGGAATAAGGGGAAAAAAGGTTAAAAAACAAGGGTTTCCATTTTAATAGACAAATAATTGAGTAAAGAACATTATCTAAAAGCAGTGTAAGGTTGGTAATTCAAACTCATTTAAATATCTCATCTTCACTGCTTTTAAATTATGTAAATTGGAAATTTGCCAATAACTTTATTGTTAATAAATGCATTGGAAATTTGCCAACAATTTTAGTGTAATAAACTTCATTGGAAATTTGCCAATATAAAATTTTGCTGATGAAGGTTTTTTGTTTACCTTTAGCCTTGACTATGAAGTCATTTTCTATTTTTATAGCCTTATGATGTAGTTGAATTATTTAATACTTTTATGATGTGTTTAAATGGGGTTTTATCATGTTTATGGTAAAAAAATTTTTGTTTATTTTTAGCTATGATTATGATGTCATTTTCTATTTTACTTTTATGGTTGCAAAGAAATTTTTATTTTTAGATATTACTGTTAAATGATGCTGATTAAGGTTTTTGCTATGTTTAGCCATGACTATGATGTCATTTTCTATTTTAATATCTGTTATGATGTATTTAAATGGGCTTTTATGGTTACAAAGGAATTTTATTTTTAGATATTACTATAAAATGTTGCTGATGCTGATTAAGGATTTTGTTTATTTTTAGCCATGACTATGATGTCATTTTCTATTTTAATAATAATAATAATAATAATAAATTCTTTATTTAAAGAGGGTAAACTCAGTTAGTTACAATAAACTAATCTTCCCTGAGGCCCTCACATACAAATTACAATACAATCAAAAACAGATATTTACACAAAGTTAATTTACAGTCAATTAGTTCAATGTAATATTACTAACATGATAAGATATAAGGCTGTTCAAGATGTACATGTAGTCAAAAAATCAAATACAAATAAAAATAAAAGAATATACAAATACATTGTAGAAAATATAATCTTATCAGGACTGTGTTAAGTACTTCTTGATACTTTGTTTAAAAGTATAAGTGTTTTGAGCTTTACGCATTTTGTGTGGTAGTCCATTCCATAACACTGATCCAGAATAAACAAAAGATTTCTTAAATAGCTCAGCTTTTGGCTTAGGAACTATCAGATTACCTTGAGTGACGCCTCTCAGGGAGTAAGGATTATTATCTGATTTCAGTTTAAACTTTTGAACTAGATACATTGGTGCTTCCATACGCATACATTTATATAGAAGTAAATATTTGTGGTATTTTATTCTATTGTCAACTGTCATCCACCCAAGTTTTTTAAATAAGGGGGCTGAGGGGGATAAAGGATTTGCATCTAGAATTAATCTTGCTGCCCTTTTTTGGAGTTTTAAAATTCTTGCTATCCCTTCATTTTTACATTCACCCCAAATAATACAGCAGTAGTCAATCAGGGGCAGAATATATCCATTGTAATATGTTTTCCTTGCATTTATATCTAAAAATTTCTTTATTTTAGAAAGAAGGTATATTCTGGATGATATATTAGCACAAACTTGGTCAATTTGATTTCTCCAGTTAAGTGTGCTGTCAATTTTAACACCTAATAATTTTTCACATGAAGAAAACCTTTATGATGTAATTTCCATTTTTAGATATTACTGTTAAATGATGCTGATTAAGGGTTTTTTGCTATGTTTAGCCATGACTATGATGTCATTTTCTATTTTAATATCTTTATGATGTATTTAAATGGGCTTTTATGGTTACAAAGGAATTTTATTTTTAGATATTACTTTAAATGTTGCTGATTAAGGATTTTTGTTTATTTTTAGCCATGACTATGATGTCACTTTCTATTTTAATACCTTTATGATGTATTTAAATGGGCTCCCATGTATTTAGATTTTTGATTATTTATACATGTTACCAAATTGGTCCACATTGAACAAAAACGGTCCAAATTTCAACTTTATTACATTACATCAAACATTGAATTCTACATATTCTTTGATATATTGAAATTAACAAACAATTTAGTTTATGGATATTCCACCATAATAGGTAAATTAAATTTTTTCCAGTTCTTACACCACATTCATCCTGTGTCAGAAACCTATGCTGTGTCAAATATTTAATGACAATCCAAAGTCATAGCTGTATCAAGCTTGAATTTTGTGTCCATACTTGCCCCAACTGTTCAGGGTTCGACCTCTGTGGTCGTATCAAGCTGCGCCCCAGCGAAGCATTTTATTATTCCATAATCTTAGCTCTTTTAATATTCACCTTTTCTAGTGTTGACAATTTAACAACAATAATCTTCAGCTGGACATAGAAATACCGGGCGTCTGTCTGTGTGTCCATCCGTCCCGTCTTGTTAGCGCTCTCACTGTACAGTTCTTGCCAGATTTTTATGAAACATATATAATAGGTTTGTATCAGCATTGTCTTGGACAAGTTCGAAAATCAGTGTTGATCATTTTTGTCGAGGCTGTGACATTTGTCGCAGAAAAATCGACATAGGGATAGTAATGCTGCAGTGGCGGCTTTAGCTAACTAAAACTTTATATTTTAGAAGGTGGAAGACCTGGATGCTTCATACTTTGTATATAGATGCCTTATGTTACGAAGTTTCCGTCTGTCACATGTCCATTGTCCTTGACCTCATTTTCATGGTTCAGTGACTACTTGAAAAAAAAGTTAAGATTTTTTGTAATGTTAATTTCTCTCTTATTATGAGTAATAGGATAACTATATTAAATGATGCCAAACTTAAGAAGATTACAGCGGTTTACATAGGATTGGGTAGTGGCCATTGTTGACATTATGTATAGATCCAAGTGATAGATTTTGGCTCTTTTGTAGTTCTGAAAAGCATAAAGTTTCCATTTCATTTTGCAGTAAATCTCTCAACACCAAAAATGATATAATGACCAATAATCAGCGGTCTAAATCAAAGACATATGGTGATACAGTAATACAACAGTTTAGAAGTTTGAGGGACAAAGATGAGCTGTGTGATTTCCAGGTATCAGCTGATGGCAGAATATTTAAGGTATGAAAAGATAGTGTAGAATGGGTGACTTAATTTATTCATACTTTGCCAAAATGTATATTGTTTTATTTTCAAACAAATAATAAAAATTATAGGTTGCAGAGCTGGTTGCGAAAAATTTATACATTTTGTAAGAATTTTACATGGAAAAAGAATTATTATTATTTCTTGCTATAATACAAAATAGAAAAATTTACTGTAGATTCCTTTATGTCTATATAAAATTGAATTAGTTATCACTCCTTAAGAGGCTAAGTTTTGAAATTAATAAAGAAATATTCTATCTTTGTAAAAACAGTGGTAATGGTTAGATTTAATCATAAAATTTCTTCATTCAAATGAAAAGTCTTTCAAATGAATTGCATTCCTGCCTCAACATTGATTTATTTTATTAAATATCTACATGATGGCAAAAGACCCCATAATACCTTAAGCTGTCAAATTCTAATTAAAACTGTACATGAAGTCATAAAATAGTGAAACATATCACCATTATGCCTAAATTAAAAAAACGAGTGTCTACATACAGTTTTTAAAAAAGGGGCAAGCTGATATCTCTAAAAACTAATTTAAGCCTGCCACATGTTGATGTGCCTCAGCCCTGTGCCAAGTTAGGAACCTCTTCAGTGGTTGTCACATATCTTTTTTGTCATTTACTCGTTTGATATTGATGTGCCTCAGCCCTGTACCAAGTTAGGAACCTCTTCAGTGGTTGCCACATATCTTTTTTGTCATTTACTCCTTTGATATTGATGTGCCTCAGCCCTGTACCAAGTTAGGAACCTCTTCAGTGGTTGTCACATATCTTTTTTGTCATTTACTCCTTTGATATTGATGTGCCTCAGCCCTGTGCCAAGTTAGGAACCTCTTCAGTGGTTGTCACATATCTTTTTTGTCATTTACTCGTTTGATGTTGATGTGCCTCAGCCCTGTGCCAAGTTAGGAACCTCTTCAGTGGTTGTCACATATCTTTTTTGTCATTTACTCCTTTGATGTTGATGTGCCTCAGCCCTGTACCAAGTTAGGAACCTCTTCGGTGGTTGTCACATATCTTTTTTGTCATTTACTCCTTTGATGTTGATGTGCACGTCTCAGCCCTGTACCAAGTTAGGAACCTCTTCAGTGGTTGTCACATATCTTTTTTGTCATTTACTCCTTTGATATTGATGTGCCTAAGCCCTGTGCCAAGTTAGGAACCTCTTCAGTGGTTGTCACATATCTTTTTTGTCATTTACTCCTTTGATGTTGATGTGCCTCAGCCCTGTGCCAAGTTAGGAACCTCTTCAGTGGTTGTCACATATCTTTTTTGTCATTTACTCCTTTGATGTTGATGTGCACGCCTCAGCCCTGTACCAAGTTAGGAACCTCTTCAGTGGTTTTCACATATCTTTTTTGTCATTTACTCCTTTGATGTTGATGTGCCTCAGCCCTGTGCCAAGTTAGGAACCTCTTCGGTGGTTGTCACATATTTTTTTTTGTCATTTACTGGTTTGATGTTGATGTGCCTCAGCCCTGTGCCAAGTTAGAACCTCTTCAGTGGTTGTCACATATCTTTTTTGTCATTTACTCGTTTGATGTTGATGTGCCTCAGCCCTCTGCCAAGTTAGGAACCTCTTCAGTGGTTGTCACATATCTTTTTTGTCATTTACTCGTTTGATATTGATGTGCCTCAGCCCTGTACCAAGTTAGGAACCTCTTCAGTGGTTGTAACATATCTTTTTTGTCATTTACTCCTTTGATGTTGATGTGCCTCAGCCCTGTACCAAGTTAGGAACCCCTTCAGTGGTTGTCACATATCTTTTTTGTCATTTACTCCTTTGATATTGATGTGCCTCAGTCCTGTGCCAAGTTAGGAATCTCTTCAGTGGTTGTCACATATCTTTTTTGTCATTTACTCCTTTGATGTTGATGTGCCTCAACCCTGTACCAAGTTAGGAACCTCTTCAGTGGTTGTCACATATCTTTTTTGTCATTTACTCGTTTGATATTGATGTGCCTCAGCCCTGTACCAAGTTAGGAACCTCTTCAGTGGTTGTCACATATCTTTTTTGTCATTTACTCCTTTGATGTTGATGTGCCTCAGCCCTGTGCCAAGTTAGGAACCTCTTCAGTGGTTGTCACATATCTTTTTTGTCATTTACTCCTTTGATGTTGATGTGCCTCAGCCCTGTACCAAGTTAGGAACCTCTTCAGTGGTTTTCACATATCTTTTTTGTCATTTACTCCTTTGATGTTGATGTGCCTCAGCCCTGTGCCAAGTTAGGAACCTCTTCAGTGGTTGTCACATATTTTTTTTGTCATTTACTGGTTTGATGTTGATGTGCCTCAGCCCTGTGCCAAGTTAGAACCTCTTCAGTGGTTGTCACATATCTTTTTTGTCATTTACTCCTTTGATGTTGATGTGCCTCAGCCCTGTGCCAAGTTAGGAACCTCTTCAGTGGTTGTCACATATCTTTTTTGTCATTTACTCGTTTGATGTTGATGTGCCTCAGCCCTGTGCCAAGTTAGGAACCTCTTCAGTGGTTGTCACATATCTTTTTTGTCATTTACTCGTTTGATATTGATGTGCCTCAGCCCTGTACCAAGTTAGGAACCTCTTCAGTGGTTGTCACATATCTTTTTTGTCATTTACTCCTTTGATGTTGATGTGGCTCAGCCCTGTACCAAGTCAGAACCTCTTCAGTGGTTGTCACATATCTTTTTTGTCATTTACTCCTTTGATATTGATGTGCCTCAGCCCTGTGCCAAGTTAGGAACCTCTTCAGTGGTTGTCACATATCTTTTTTGTCATTTACTCCTTTGATGTTGATGTGCCTCAGCCCTGTGCCAAGTTAGGAACCTCTATAGTGGTTGTCACATATCTTTTTTGTCATTTACTCGTTTGATATTGATGTGCCTCAGCCCTGTACCAAGTTAGGAACCTCTTCAGTGGTTGTCACATATCTTTTTTGTCATTTACTCCTTTGATATTGATGTGCCTCAGCCCTGTACCAAGTTAGGAACCTCTTCAGTGGTTGTCACATATCTTTTTTGTCATTTACTCCTTTGATGTTGATGTGCCTCAGCCCTGTGCCAAGTTAGGAACCTCTTCAGTGGTTGTCACATATCTTTTTTGTCATTTACTCGTTTGATATTGATGTGCCTCAGCCCTGTACCAAGTTAGGAACCTCTTCAGTGGTTGCCACATATCTTTTTTGTCATTTACTCCTTTGATATTGATGTGCCTCAGCCCTGTACCAAGTTAGGAACCTCTTCAGTGGTTGTCACATATCTTTTTTGTCATTTACTCCTTTGATGTTGATGTGGCTCAGCCCTGTACCAAGTTAGAACCTCTTCAGTGGTTGTCACATATCTTTTTTGTCATTTACTCCTTTGATATTGATGTGCCTCAGCCCTGTGCCAAGTTAGGAACCTCTTCAGTGGTTGTCACATATCTTTTTTGTCATTTACTCCTTTGATGTTGATGTGCCTCAGCCCTGTGCCAAGTTAGGAACCTCTATAGTGGTTGTCACATATCTTTTTTGTCATTTACTCGTTTGATATTGATGTGCCTCAGCCCTGTACCAAGTTAGGAACCTCTTCAGTGGTTGTCACATATCTTTTTTGTCATTTACTCCTTTGATATTGATGTGCCTCAGCCCTGTACCAAGTTAGGAACCTCTTCAGTGGTTGTCACATATCTTTTTTGTCATTTACTCCTTTGATGTTGATGTGCCTCAGCCCTGTGCCAAGTTAGGAACCTCTTCAGTGGTTGTCACATATCTTTTTTGTCATTTACTCGTTTGATATTGATGTGCCTCAGCCCTGTACCAAGTTAGGAACCTCTTCAGTGGTTGCCACATATCTTTTTTGTCATTTACTCCTTTGATATTGATGTGCCTCAGCCCTGTACCAAGTTAGGAACCTCTTCAGTGGTTGTCACATATCTTTTTTGTCATTTACTCCTTTGATATTGATGTGCCTCAGCCCTGTGCCAAGTTAGGAACCTCTTCAGTGGTTGTCACATATCTTTTTTGTCATTTACTCCTTTGATATTGATGTGCCTCAGCCCTGTGCCAAGTTAGGAACCTCTTCAGTGGTTGTCACATATCTTTTTTGTCATTTACTCGTTTGATGTTGATGTGCCTCAGCCCTGTGCCAAGTTAGGAACCTCTTCAGTGGTTGTCACATATCTTTTTTGTCATTTACTCCTTTGATGTTGATGTGCCTCAGCCCTGTACCAAGTTAGGAACCTCTTCGGTGGTTGTCACATATCTTTTTTGTCATTTACTCCTTTGATGTTGATGTGCACGCCTCAGCCCTGTACCAAGTTAGGAACCTCTTCAGTGGTTGTCACATATCTTTTTTGTCATTTACTCCTTTGATATTGATGTGCCTAAGCCCTGTGCCAAGTTAGGAACCTCTTCAGTGGTTGTCACATATCTTTTTTGTCATTTACTCCTTTGATGTTGACGTTCCTCAGCCCTGTGCCAAGTTAGGAACCTCTTCAGTGGTTGTCACATATCTTTTTTGTCATTTACTCCTTTGATGTTGATGTGCACGCCTCAGCCCTGTACCAAGTTAGGAACCTCTTCAGTGGTTTTCACATATCTTTTTTGTCATTTACTCCTTTGATGTTGATGTGCCTCAGCCCTGTGCCAAGTTAGGAACCTCTTCGGTGGTTGTCACATATTTTTTTTTGTCAATTACTGGTTTGATGTTGATGTGCCTCAGCCCTGTGCCAAGTTAGAACCTCTTCAGTGGTTGTCACATATCTTTTTTGTCATTTACTCGTTTGATGTTGATGTGCCTCAGCCCTCTGCCAAGTTAGGAACCTATTCAGTGGTTGTCACATATCTTTTTTGTCATTTACTCGTTTGATATTGATGTGCCTCAGCCCTGTACCAAGTTAGGAACCTCTTCAGTGGTTGTAACATATCTTTTTTGTCATTTACTCCTTTGATGTTGATGTGCCTCAGCCCTGTACCAAGTTAGGAACCCCTTCAGTGGTTGTCACATAT